GAGGATGAGGCCCAGAAATCAGGATTTTAAACAGATTCCCATGGTGACTCTAATGTGCAGCCAAGGTTGAGAACCACTGATCTATGAGATTGTTTCTTCCCCGGGAAACAGTAGCCTTCTTTGGGGTGCGACTCTGAGCCTGTCAGTCAGGCTCCCTAAAATACTCCTGGAGGGCCTCCCGGGACCTGGGGCAAGGCCATGGCGGAGGGAATCGGCGCGAGGCAGCCCGTCCACCTGGACCGGGGCCGGCGAGCTGTCCTACGGCGGGACGGGGCCAGCTGCCTGTTTTCCTTATAATCTGGGAACTAAGAATGGTTTTACGTTTTTACAGGCTTGGAAAACCTAAGAGTTGTTAGGATCCGTGGTATTTTAGGAGCCGTAGTAATTATGGAAATTCAGATTTCAGTAACTTAGGTTTTGCTGGAACATCACCACACTGATTCTTCCACGAGTTGTCTGTGGCCGCTCTCTGCTGCCGGCAGAGCTGAGCTGAGCAGTAGCAAAGCCCGCAGAGCCCAGAACACATGCTCCCTGGTCCTTTGCAGACATGTTCCCAGGCTGTGCTGACAGTTCAAATGTTTTTATTGATTTCAGAGAGGAAGGGGGAGAGAGGGAGAGACATCAGTGATGAGAGAGAATCATCCCTTGGCTGCCTCCTGCAGGCCCCCCCCACTGGGGATCGAGCCTGAAACCTGGGCGTGTGCCCTGACTGGTTCACAGGATGATGCTCAGCCACTGAGCCACACCGTCCGGGCTCTGGTGACAATTTGTAGGAGTAATTGCAGCCTGACTCCTAAGCCTCCGGGAGTCGCAGAGGCTGTAACGCATCCATTTAACCGGGTCCCTTTCGGAGACATGTAGGGTTTGTCCCCCAAGTCTTTTGCTGTCACAGGCCCCAACCCCTTTATCCAAAACCGCTGGGCCAGATGCCGGTTAAATTCAGAAATTTGGGAGCTTCTCTCAGAAGGGCCACTCGGCTCATCGGTAAACATCTCAGCCTCCGGTGTGAATAGTCACAGCGGAGAAATGAGGACACGAGTGGCCGCGACCTTTGTAAACAAGTGATGAAGTCATGTTGGGTCCGGGATCCTGGACGAGGGTGTCGGTCGGAAGAAATAACAGCAATTGAATGAGACCTTTATGTACGTGTCATTTTTTAAAAAATATTTTTGTATTGCTTTCAGAGAGGGAGGGGGAGGGAGAGAGAGAGAAACATCAATGATGAGAGAGAATCGTTGATTGACTGCCTCCTGCACGCCCCCCACTGGGGATCGAGCCTGCAACCCGGGCATGTGCCCTGACTCGGAATCAAACCCGGGACCCTTCAGTCCACAGGCTGACGCTCTAGCCACGGAGCCAAATCGGCGAGGGCTGTCTCAGTGTAGTTTTAACTTGTGAAACTTATTATTGTATATGTTCTAACTATACTTTGAAAACAGTGTTTTATACCGATAGGAACTATAGAGAGGCTTAGCCAGAGTGACAGAATGGACTCAGGAAAAGCCAAAACAAGGGCTCTCCTGCCTTGTCCTGTTGGAGAAGAAGTCGCCCTCCCCTCGCTCATGGGGCCCACTCCTCACGAGACCCAAGGCAGGGGCCGCTTTTATTTTCTGTGCATTTCTTTAAAAAACAACAACAAAGACGGGAAAGTAGGCGATTAAGTCATGTTTGTTTGACAGTAGCTTAGAGGTCAGCAGACAGAACGAGTCGCATGAACACAGAAAAACAAGCAGACAACTGGTGCCGAACTCGAGGGATTAATTCATTGTGTTTCGTTGTGACAGCTCGACCCACTTTTGTAATCCAGCCGCAGAACACGGAGGTGCTGGTCGGGGAGAGCGTCACGCTGGAGTGCAGCGCCACGGGCCACCCGCTGCCCAGGATCGCCTGGACCCGCGGGACCGCTCGCCCCTGCCCACCGACCCCCGCGTGAGCATCACGCCCTCGGGCGGCCTCTTCATCCAGAACGTGGCGCAGGAGGACGGCGGGGAGTACACCTGCTTCGCGTCCAACAGCCTGGACAGCATCCACGCCACGGCCTTCATCATCGTCCAGGGTGAGCGTCCGGGGACCCTCCGCCCGCAGCCCTGCCCGTGGGCCCGGTGCGCCCTCTGCCTGGTGCCCGCAGGAGGGGCCGTCCCCGGGATCACCGTCGTGTTCACCTTCGCACTCACGCCTCCACCCAGCTGTGACTTAGAGGACGGGCTGTGGGGCTGTTTCCTGGCTGTGACCCACGGCGCCCGGAGCTCTGGCGAGTGTGCGCCGCAGGCAACCACATGGGGGGGGGGGGTGTGCACACATGTGCACGCGTGTGCACAGGCATATTAATCAGGAAGTCCTCGCACATTTTGGAATTTCCCAGGGTTGATTCTTGGACACAGGAGGCCCGGAGTTTTAAGATGTGTGCTATGCATTTCCAAATTCCTTGGCCCAATACTGAATTTATCAGTGTTTGTTGTTGTTCATCCTCACCCAAGGCTATTTTTCCCATTGATTTTAGAGAGAGAGGAAGGGAAGGGGAGGGGAGGGGAGAGAAACATCGATGTGAGAGAGACACATCAATGGTTGCCTGCCACACGCACCCCCATGGGGCCAGGGAACCTGCCACCGAGGTACCTGCCCTTGACCAGGAATCGAACCTGTCACCCTTTGCTGCACAAGCCGATGCTCTAACCACTGAGCCACTGGCCAGGGCTGAGTCTATTCATTTTTACGTAAATTGCAAAGTGGGGCGTTTGCTGGAGCCTTAGGACAAAATAGAAATGGGAATAAGAGACAAACGAGTCCTTTCCCTGCTCCTCTCTCTGCCCACTTTCCCCGCCTCCACGGAAACCACCGTGAGGTTTGCTAACCTCCTGGCACCTTCTCTGGGCAGGTGCCTGTGGTCATTAGGCGTCGACGTCCTTCGTTGTGGCTGATACTTTTATAAAAGTGGAATCACAGGGGACACACTGTTGTTACGTTTTTCTCAATAATAACAGACCAGCTCCTGCCCTGGGCTTCCCTGCTCTGCACCCCAAGTGTCTTCCTTACCTGCTCAGGCCGGGCCGGCAGCAGGCGTCCTGTCACTCAGGGCGGCCCCGCCCGGGGAGGCCTCCCCGTCTGCCGCCTCCTCAGGGAAGCTGTCTTCTCACCGCGTGTCCCATCTCGCCCCGGCAGCTCTCCCTCAGTTCACCGTGACCCCGCAGGACCGAGCTGTGATCGAGGGTCAGACCGTTGATTTCCAGTGCGAGGCCAAGGGGTACCCGCAGCCCGTCATCGCCTGGACGAAAGGAGGTAGGCGCACACCGGGTCCCCAGCCGTCACCACCGCCCTCCCTCGGAACACCGACTCGAAGCCAGCTGTGTCTTTCTCTGGCCCCCAAGCCCCAGGCTTCTGAGCGGGGCTGAGCGCTGGGTGACCCCGACATGGCCCGGGGGTCTTGCCTTTAATACACACTAATTAGGGTTGAATGAAATGTAATTCAGGGAAGAGGAGCTGGAAGACCACAGTGGAATATATATTTTTAAAGTTTTGCTCTCGGCTTAGTCCCAGAGTTCTGCCACTTCCCGCCCTGTACTGCGTGTTGGTTGCGTGGATTCTCTGGGTGGGGCCAGCCCTCGGTCTCCCGCTGGCCCAGGGGTGACGGCAGCCGCCTGGGGAGGGGGGGGAGGGGGGGCTGAGCCGGTGCTGCTGGACCTTCAGGGCCTGTCCTGGACTCCAGGGGGGTGACCTGGAGAACCAGCTGGTGACCTCCATCCATCCCTTCGTCCAGAGGGGCCCTTCCCAGGGGTTCCCGGGGCCTCCCTGCTGTCGGGCAGGCGAGCCTCAGCCCCAGGTGAGGTGAGAGGACCATGCAGCACGGACCAGCCTCTTCCCGGGACCCAAGCTGGTGTGCACGCCGCCCGAGTCCCCTGCCGTCCTGGCTCCTGCCTGCGTAGCCCTTGTCTCTGGCTCCACCCTCCGGGGACCCTCATGGGAGCAGGGAGCGCGTTCTGTTTACCCCTGACCGGGCTGCACGAGCCGGTGCCCCCACGCCGCCCAGGCGGGTCGGGGTGTCTGGGGGAAGGAACCGATTGCTGACCGAGGGCCGGACGATGACCCCGGGCCCTAATCGGGCCAAGACGCGCCTGCGATCCTTTGATTTTCTCTAAGTCCTGCTCCACCTGTAACTAATGTGTCCCCCTCACCCCCCACCGTGTCCCCGTGACCGACTGGTGCCTCACCCTTCAGGGAGCCAGCTGTCTGTGGACAGGCGGCACCTGGTGCTGTCGTCGGGGACGCTCCGCATCTCGGCCGTCGCCCTCCACGACCAGGGCCAGTACGAGTGCCAGGCTGTCAACATCATCGGCTCCCAGAGGGTCGTGGCCCAGCTGACCGTGCAGCCCCGAGGTAGGCGCGGGGTGCTGCCCGGCGGGCGTGGCGGCGAGGGGGGACCCTACCCGTGGCCGTGGCTGCAGGCAGACGCGCGGGAGGCCAGGCTCCTGCACCGGCACTCACGTCACTCATGACCCACAGCCACCTCTACCTGATTTGAACAACTGACCCTTGACCCTGGGTTCCCGAGGGGACTGTGTCACATGCAGCTCGTTAAGTGTTGCCCTGTAGCCTGCGATAAGGGGTATTTTCAACGGTGCTTGTACTGCCCTCTGATGGGCGACTTGTCACAGTAATGGACCCTTTTCCCTGGCTGATGGTGTCACTCTGAACCAGGGTCGGTGGGAGCAGCCTTTCCTGGTTATTGCAGCGGCGCTGGGTGTGGTGGCCCAACCGTGTCCTGGAGTCACGGTTCTGTTTCCTGTTTGCACCCCCCTAGAGCATGCCAGGGTCCCCCATGTTCTCTGTACTCAGAAGGACCTGGTCGCCTGGTGCCTCTAGAAAGGCTCAGGGCAGACGGAGCAGGTGCAGAGCCCAGCCTGCAGGTGCAGACGTGGGGCCTCGGGTCTTCTCCGAGGCTGGGCTGGCTCTGGGTTTCGGGGTTTGCCCCGCTCAGTCCTCACCGGCCAGGACTCTGGGCGGCCTGTTGGGTGAGAAATTGGGTGAGGACTCCTGAGAGGCCGCCAGGCCCTCACAACCTCACCCGCGGGTGCCTTCCCACTCATCGGGGTCTCGGGGGCTGGGGTGCAGGGCCTTGGACAGACGGGAGCTCCGTCAGCCTTGCAGGCTGCTCGTGGGTGGGGACATCTCGGTCCCTCCAGCCCCTCCTCTCTGTGCAGACACCCCAGGAGTTGACGGGTGGCCGGCCGAGTTCTCGGTGCCCTGGGCCTGCGCTGACGGAGGGAGGGCGGGGGTTCAAGGTGTCAGCTGTGCTCCTTCCTTCCAGTCACCCCGGTGTTCAGCAGCGTCCCCAGCGACCAGACGGCGGAGGTGGGCTCCAACGTGCAGCTGCCGTGCAGCTCGCAGGGCGAGCCCGAGCCCACCATCACCTGGAACAAGGTACCGCGGCGGGCAGGTGCGCGGGGCGGGCGGGGGGACGGTGGGGTAACCCCCACAGCAGGGGAAACCTCCAGATCGTGGCCCAAGGGGAAGATGTGCCGCTGTCCTCAGTAATAAAACCAAAGGAGACAGCAGCCTGGGGCCGCCCCCTTCTCACAGCCTCTCGGCACCAGAGCAGAAAACCTTCCTGTTAGACCCTTGACCCCACAGTCAGCGGGGAAGGTTCTTTGTGGTTTTATTTTCCTCTTGTTTTTATGAAGCCCCATAAGAAACGCAGCAGAGTTTAAACATAAAATCAAGTGCTTAAAACACGGGGTGTCCGGGGGACGGGTGGACCAGAGGCACTGTGTGCCCGTCCTCGCTTCCTCTCTCGGCTGGGGTGTCGCTGTCCCAGGAGGCAGTGCCCAGGCCTTCTCCCTCCCAGGTGCCCGAATTCATGCTCCTCACTGCAGTCTGTCCCAGGGGGGCTGCTTTTGGGCCCCCCTCCCCACCCCCACCCCCACCTCATCCTGGAAAATCCCAGGATTGTGGCTTCCATCCGATCTCCCCAGGACCTAGGCAGGCACAACAGACAGTTCACCCCATGGAAGCCGTACTGGGCGGATCAGATTCACCTCCTCTCTCTGATGATGGGTGAACCTGCCCCCGGGCTCCTGACGTGTCCCCCTGTGAGGCCGACGATGGCCCCTCACCACCTGCAGTGAGCAACACGGCTCCGCAGTCTCATTCCTGTGACGTCCCCCGTTTGCTCCAGGATGGGGTCCAGGTGACAGAAAGCGGGAAGTTTCACATCAGCCCTGAGGGGTTCCTGACCATCCACGACGTGGGGACCGCGGACGCCGGCCGCTACGAGTGTGTGGCGCGGAACACCATCGGGCAGGCCTCGGTCAGCATGGTGCTCAGCGTCAGCGGTAGGTGGCCCGGCCCCTGGGGCTGGCAGACACCCCACCCGCGTGGGTTCAGGCCGCGGGAGGAAGGCACCGGCTCCCAGCACAAGGCCGGGCCGTGGGGGTGTTAGAAGGTGGCGTGTCGCCCTGACCGGTTTGGCTCCGTGGATAGAGCGTCGGCCTGCGGACTGGAGGGTCCCAGGTTCGATTCCAGTCAAGGGCATGTACCTTGGTTGCGGGCACATCCCCAGTAGGGAGTGTGCAGGAGGCAGCTGATCGATGTTTCTCTCTCATCGGTATTTCTGACTATCCCTCTCCCTTCCTCTCTGTAAAAAATCAATAAATATATTTTTTTAAAAAAAGAAGGTGGTGTGTCCACACCCCTAGTTTGCAGGAGGCCACAGGGCACCCTCGGTGGGTGGCAGGGCCTGGCGGCTTGAGCCCCTCCTGCCCGCGAGGCTGCTGTGTCTGACTCACTCGGCAGAGCCTCCCTGCCCTGGGTTTGGTGGTGGGTTCAGCGTCATCCAAACCCCTTCAGGTCCGACAGTGTGTCATCATTTGGCAAAACTTCGGAGCTGTTATTGCCCCATTCTTACCCCCCAGAGCTCAGGAGACAGGGCTGCTCTCTGTTCCCAGGGCGTGAACGTCCCGAGCGTCTTCAACACAAACCTCTTCGTCATCCCTGAAGCAGCGGCCCGGCTCCCTGAGCTCCGGGGGTTAGAGAATGCCTCCCCGGCCAGCCAGTGCGTGACATGATAGCTACAGTTTCCCTGTTCCTTTAGACCAGGGGTGGGGAACGTTTTTCTGCCGAGGGCCATGGGGATATCTGTAACATCATTCGCAGGCCATACAAAATTGTCAGCTTAAAAACGAGCTTTAATTGGTCATCTGATTCGCTCAGCCCTAACGCCCCTGCAGGGCCAGACCAAAGGATTTCTCGGACCCCGTGCAGCCTGTGGGCCGGACACTCTCCACCCCTGGCCTAGAGGGTGTGGCGTGACTTCAAAATTGAAAAGTCTGTAATTTCCGTTCTGTTTGAAAGCAGCTTCCAGTAGAGTTGGTGATGAAGTGAGTTGAGCTCTGGTGTGAGAAACAGAAAAAGCCCTTGGAGCCGGGTGCCTCTGTCTTGATGACGTAGCGTCTAGACGCCGAGTAACTTCTAGGGCCCTGGTAACTCGAGGCTCCATGTTCTCCTAGTGCCTGACGTCAGCCGAAACGGGGACCCGTTCGTGGCCACATCCATCGTGGAGGCGATCGCAACGGTCGACAGGGCCATAAACTCCACACGGACTCACCTGTTTGACAGGTAGGGCGCGATCTGGCGCGCCTCCCTGAGCTGGGGGTGCGGGGGGGCGGGGGGGGGGAGCTCGGGCCATTCTGGTCCAGGGTGGACCAGTTGCCTCATCGGAGAAAACCTTTCGCTTGAAAACCATCCACAAGGTTGGCATCCGCTCCCCGGGGGTTAAGACAACAGGCATGTCCTTTCCAAGTAGAGCCTGGAGCATGATTCACAAGTCAAACATTTCTTTAAAATGGCAACACGGGCCTTTGGCTTGTTGCTAAACGATTTGGCAAAAACAACGCATTTCACAAGCCATTAGGGGACGTGTTCCTGTTGGCCAATTCCGAGGTGTTTTTTCTGTGTCTGCATTGAAGTCGAATGTTGCTGTTTTCTCCCTGGAACTAATGAACTGTTCGTGTCTGGTTTCTCTTGGTTTTGTTTTTCTCTTGCCTTCCACCCGGGATCAGGCAGGTACGGTTCGCCCCTAGAGCAGTAGCTACGGCAGCAGTAAGCCGCCGTTCTGTCGTTGGGTGCTTTCTGTCTCTGACTGTCCCCTCTTCCCTCCTGCCCCGACCGCGCCAGCCGTCCACGCTCCCCTAACGACCTGCTGGCCCTGTTCCGCTACCCGAGGGACCCCTACACCGTGGAGCAGGCGCGCGCCGGCGAGATATTCGAGCGGACGCTGCAGCTGATCCAGGAGCACGTGCAGGGCGGCCTCATGGTCGACCTCAACGGAACCAGTCAGTACCCAGGCTCCTCCCTGCATCTTCCGGGGGAGCGGGTGTCGCACCCCCACCTCGGTGCCTCCTGAGGGCCGTGCTCCGGCGTTCTTGTCCCGCGTGTCTGTGAAGGGCACAGTCGGGTGACAGCGAGGGTCCTGTGGGTCCCACCTCGGGTAACAGGGACCCTCTGGGATGTGAGCTGGGCGGTCCCTGCCCACTGGCTGTGACCCAAGGTCCCCGGGCACAGGAGGTTTGAGGGAGGGCTTTGCAGGACAGCTGCTGTGTAGGTGGCGCTGTGTCCATGCTGCTGTCGGGAAGGGTGTGTGTGGAGCTCCCGCCTCTGTCCTGGTGATGATGGGTGGCATGGGGTGACTGCCACCCTGGCACTGTGCCAGGCAGAGGAGTGCCAGTGGTGCTGTTGGATGGTGGTGACCCGGGTTTTACTGTGTAACAGCATCACTCTCACCAGCAGCTGTTCGTTCAGGGTTGTGCATGAGCTCATGTGCTGCTGGGGATAGTCCCGGAAGCAGCTGACCTGAGAACGCGGTGCCAGGTGATTCGAGATCCTCTGCTTCCCGGCTTTTCAGTGGTTTCTACCTTGTCTCTGATGAACGTCTTTTGCCATCAGGACAAAAGCGTTACTCGGGACTGAACGCTATTCCTCAGGACGAGTGCGCGCGGTAAGGGAAGGCCTGCCGCCCTGGGACCAGTCCGAGCCCAGTGTCCTGGCGGCCGGCTGTGTGCAGATGCCTCCTGCTTCTCCATCCCGGGCCCCGGCCCCTCAGGGTCATCTCCACTGGTCTCTAGGCGACCGCCAGCCTCCGCTCCCAGCACCCGGAGAAGCGTCAGAACCCGGCCATTCTGCCTAGAGTCTCTGCCGGGCACTCGCGGCCAACGGTCGGGGACGGGGCTGGGCAGGGGTGTCTGGAATGATCCTGGAGGGAGGTGGCCGTTGGGGACCAGGTGCCCTGAGAGGGTGCGTCTCGCTGTGAAGGCAGAGGTGACTGTCACTCAGCCTGGCTGTAGTGGACGCTCACACAGTGTCCACCTGAGACGTTAACCTGCAGGCCAGCCTGTGTCCTGGTTCTGTGGCCCTGGGAGTGGTACCTCGTGGGGAAGAGACTGATTTTTCCCCAATGACAGCACCTTCCAGGCACGGTCCCGCCCTGAAGCGGTCACTTGTCCACCCCCTAGTCTTGGATACTAACTTTCCTCAGTCGGCAGTTCCCCCCGTACCCAGTGGTCTGCACTCTGAGGTCGCTTTTATTTCTGACGTGAACTGGCCTGAAGGGCGTGGCTGAAATGGCAGTTTGCAGCCTTCCTGGTGAGCGTCTCCTTTCGCAGACGTGCTGCCTGCGTCTGCAGACGGGTCTGCGTGTTATCGGTGAACGTCCAGACGCTCTGGTCCCAGTTCACGGGCTGCTGTGTCTGCGTCCACCCGGTGCTGGCAGGTGCCCGCCCTCGGCTTGGCTCCGGGTCCCTGCAGTGGGGCCGGCCTGGGAGGCAGCCCAGGAGCTGCCGCTGACCCCGCGGCCACCGCGCAGGCAGAGGGGCTGTACAGGGAGGCGCCTTGGGCCCTGGTGACGTGGGTGGAAGCGGGTGTTCGGTGTTCAGGGCTGAGAATGGAGAGATTTCAGGGGGACTGTGAGAGGCAGGCGTGGTGGTGTCCCTGCTGATCTCGGGAAGCGCGCCGCCCACCAAGCCTTCCGTCCGGGTGAGCGTGGCCCTGGGCGGCTGGATCCCAGTGTCACATCCCCGGCGAAGCGCTCGTGTCCCTGATGCTTCTCCCCGGCCTGTGGGGTTTCCTCCCGCGGGTTCCTCACCGCATCCATGTGGGGGTTTCGAACGCAGCCCTACAATAAGGAGTCTGTGTGTGTCAAGTGTATGAGACTGCGCCTGGGTCCGAGAAATGCTTGAAAGAGGATGCGCTGGGGACTGAGATCTGGCGGTGCCGGCCAGTGTGGGGGAGCGCAGGTGCCGCTGTGAGCGCGCTAGAGAGGGGAGCTGTTCTGCTGGTCTGCGCGTGCGCCCCTGGTGCCTGAGCGCGCGCCCCTGGTGCCTGAGCGCGCCCCCCTGCGTGCCTGAGCGCGTCCCCCTGGTGCCTGCGCGCGCCCCCCTGCGCGCCTGCCCCTGTGAGCCTGAGCGCGCGCCCCTGGTGCCTGAGCGCGCCCCCCTGGTTCCTGAGCGCGCCCCCCTGGTTCCTGAGCGCGCCCCCCTGGTTCCTGAGCGCGCCCCCCTGCGTGCCTGAGCGCGTCCCCCTGGGGCCTGCGCGCGCCCCCCTGCGTGCCTGCCCCTGTGAGCCTGAGCGTGCGCCCCTGCGTGCGTGCACGCACCTCTGGGCATGTGCTGGCAGGCGGAGCTGTTCCTCCGTCTGGAGCACGCCGGGTGGTGGAGGTGGGAAACCCTCAGGGAAGGCAGTTCCCGCGGGCCCCCCGGGAAGCACGGAGGGCCCGGAGTCCGTCCGCGGACGTCAGGCGCACACGCCGTCCATCCTACCCCGCAGGCTACCACTACAACGACCTGGTGTCCCCGCAGTACCTGAGCCTCATCGCCAACCTGTCGGGCTGCACGGCGCACCGGCGCGTGAACAACTGCTCGGACATGTGCTTCCACCAGAAGTACCGCACGCACGACGGCACCTGCAACAACCTGCAGCACCCGATGTGGGGCGCCTCACTGACGGCCTTCGAGCGCCTGCTCAAGTCCGTGTACGAGAACGGCTTCAACACGCCGCGCGGCGTGACGCCGGGGCGGCTCTACCACGGGCACGCGCTCCCCATGCCGCGCCTGGTGTCCACCACGCTCATCGGCACCGAGGCCATCACGCCGGACGCGCAGTTCACGCACATGCTCATGCAGTGGGGCCAGTTCCTGGACCACGACCTGGACTCCACGGTGGTGGCGCTGAGCCAGGCGCGCTTCTCGGACGGGCAGCACTGCAGCTCCGCCTGCAGCAACGACCCGCCCTGCTTCTCGCTCGCCATCCCGCCCAACGACCCGCGCGTGCGCAACGGCGCGCGCTGCATGTTCTTCGTGCGCTCCAGCCCCGTGTGCGGCAGCGGCATGACCTCGCTGCTCATGAACTCCGTGTACCCGCGCGAGCAGATCAACCAGCTCACCTCCTACATCGACGCCTCCAACGTCTACGGGAGCTCGGAGCACGAGGCGCGCGCCGTGCGCGACCTGGCCAGCCAGCGCGGGCTGCTGCGCCAGGGCATCGTGCAGCGCTCGGGGAAGCCGCTGCTGCCCTTCGCCGCGGGGCCGCCCACCGAGTGCATGCGGGACGAGAGCGAGAGCCCCATCCCCTGCTTCCTGGCCGGCGACCACCGCGCCAACGAGCAGCTGGGCCTCACCAGCATGCACACGCTCTGGTTCCGCGAGCACAACCGCGTGGCCGCCGAGCTGCTGGCGCTGAACCCGCACTGGGACGGCGACACGCTGTACCACGAGGCCCGCAAGATCGTGGGCGCGCAGATGCAGCACATCACCTACCAGCACTGGCTGCCCAAGGTGCTGGGCGAGGTGGGCGTGAAGATGCTGGGCGAGTACCGCGGCTACGACCCCGGCGTCAACGCCGGCATCTTCAACGCCTTCGCCACGGCCGCCTTCCGCTTCGGCCACACGCTCATCAACCCGCTGCTCTACCGGCTGGACGAGGCCTTCCAGCCCATCGCGCAGGGCCACGTGCCGCTGCACAAGGCCTTCTTCTCGCCCTTCCGCATCGTCAACGAGGGCGGCATCGACCCGCTGCTGCGCGGCCTGTTCGGCGCGGCGGGGAAGATGCGGGTGCCCTCGCAGCTGCTGAACACCGAGCTCACGGAGCGCCTCTTCTCCATGGCGCACACGGTGGCGCTCGACCTGGCGGCCATCAACATCCAGCGCGGCCGCGACCACGGCATCCCGCCCTACCACGACTTCCGCGTCTACTGCAACCTGTCGGCCGCGCACGACTTCGAGGACCTCAAGAACGAGATCCAGGACCCCGAGGTCCGCGAGAAGCTGCGCCGGTGAGTGCGCGCGCCGGGCCGGGGCCACTTTTATTTTTATTTATTTACTTCTTTTTACTTTTTTCCACCTTTTTCTGTTTGTTAATCCTCACACGAGGATATTTTTCTATTGGTTTTTTTTTTTTTTTAGAGAGAGAGTGGGAAGGAGAGAGAGAGGCAGAGAGAAACATCCATGTGAGAGAGACGCATGGATCAGCTGCCTCCTGCACGCCCCCCACTGGGGATCGAGCCCACAACCCGGGCCTGTGCCCTGACCAGGAATCAAACCCTGACCTCCTGGGTCATAGGTCGACGCTCACCACTGAGCCACACCGGCCGGACAATTATTGTATATTTTCCATACAAACAGGGTAAACCTCGTCCTGCCCCACCCTCTAGATAAACAAGGAGGAGGCGGGGGTAGGTAAAGCATGAGGAAGATGCTTTAAAGCAGTGGTTCTCAACCTTCCTAATGCCGCGACCCACAGGCTGAGAACCGCTGCTTTAAAGGAAGACGTTTCGTCTTTAAGGGACGGTCTGGGTAACGTGCAATCGTGAGGGGAAGGGGCTTTCCTGTCCGTGTTTGCGGTGCTGTCCCCGACGAGCCGTTCAGCCCATTTCAGGCTCCCTTGTCGTCCAGGTTGTACGGGTCCCCCCTCAACATCGACCTGTTCCCGGCCCTCATGGTGGAGGACCTGGTGCCGGGCAGCCGCCTGGGGCCCACGCTCATGTGCCTGCTCAGCACCCAGTTCCAGCGCCTGCGGGACGGGGACAGGTGAGCGCGAGGCGAAGAGGGGGGCCGGGCTTCGGGCACCTTCGGGGACTCGGGGGAGAGGAACCGTGGGCAGCGGCCCTGTGTCCACGCCACGTGCTGGGAGTGAAGGCGGCGTCGCGCCTGGTGCTGTCTATCTGTGTGGGATTTTAATGGACTTCTTTTTACTGACGTCAGAGAGGAAGGGAGAGGGGGAGCGAGAGAAACATCAGTGATGAGAGAGAATCATGGGTCGGCTGCCCCCTGCACACCCCCTACTGGGGATTGAGCCTGCACCTGGGCATGTGCCCTGACGGGAATCGAACCCGGGACCTCTTGGTCACAGGATGACACTCAGCCCCTGAGCCGTGCCAGCCGGGCTGTGCTGTTCATTGGTGACCACGCCCGGCCGCCGGCCCGTCACGCGCAGCAGGATGAGCCCTGCCCGGCTCGGCCGCCTTCCCTCCCCGTGGCTGGTGAGCGGGTTTCTGTCCCTCGAAGTGCACAGTCTGCCGGTTAAACCACGCCGGGTGCCGAGCCGCTGGAGCTCCGGGCGGGATCTCGAGGTGCTGCGTGGTCGCTCGGTCAGTCAGCTCAGCAGGGGGCAGGCGGTCCCTCCTGTCGCCGAGCCGGCCGGCCGGGGCCACGGGCCGTGCGACGCAGCCGAAGGGGCCTGTGCGGCCTGGCCCGGTGCCGCCTCTGGGCCTTTACTCCGTTGTTTTGCTTTGTTTCGAGCGGGAAGTGTGAGCCGTGTGTCCACCGTCAAGCGGCCCCGGTTAAAACCAGTGGCGTCTGCCTTGTTGGGGACGGAGTAGAGGCTGCTGATTCGGTCGCTGTGGTCTGAGTCCAGGTTTCCCATCTCGTTCTCCTCCCGGGACACAGGCTGTGGTACGAGAACCCTGGGGTGTTCTCGCCGGCCCAGCTGACGCAGATCAAGCAGACGTCGCTGGCCAGGATCCTGTGCGACAACGCCGACAACATCACGCGCGTGCAGAGGGACGTGTTCCGGGTGGCGGAGTACCCCCACGGCTACAGCAGCTGCGACGACATCCCCCGGGTGGACCTGCGGGTCTGGCAGGACTGCTGTGAAGGTACCGCCCAGCCCCCGCGCCCGGCGTGGCGGGCGCCGCGCTCTCTGCCCGTGAGGGGAGACGGCACGCCGGCTGGCGGACCGCGGTGCCAGCAGAGGGGTGACGGGGAGCAGGCGCGGCTGCGCCCTCCGGCTTAGGCGTGTCTGTGCCGAGGCATCCGAGGGACCTAAACAAAGTCCCGGGGGAGGATTTTCAATGCGGGTCGTGTTTAGCATGACGGCTCGTGCGACAGCATCTCTGCCTCCTTCAGGTTCATCAGTCGTTCAGGTTTACCTCGTGTTCCATGTGTTGCTCTTCTTGTGTGTGTACAGGTGTCTGCACGCTACGTTTGTTTTTTAAAGTATATTTTCATTGATTTCAGAGAAGAAGGGAGAGGGAGAGAGAGAAACATCAATGATGAGAAAGAATCATGATCGGCTGCCCCCTGCACGCCCCACACTGGGGATGGAGCCCACAACCCGGGTTCATAGGTCGATGCTAACCCCTGAGCCACACCAGCCGGGCTGTGCGTGTGTTTTATGTAAACATTACGTTCCTCGGTGGTGGAGGAAGCTGTAGGTGTCGTGCTGCTCCTCGATCATTCACTCAAGTTTTTAGGCCCAAAACCGGGAGATTCTGCGCGGACAGAGCCTTGTTTGCCGTCCAGGGCCACGGGCTCCCTTCCTGCCGTTTGTCACCGCTCACGGCAGCGTCCTGGTCTGACCCCCGGTCGGTCTTTCCGTGGCACCTCCCTCCGCGGACCTCTCTCCGACCAGACGCAGCCCTGCCCGGGCCTGAGGCTCTGTGGCGAGCAGGGCTGTCGCCAGGCCCCCATGGCCGTGAGGAGCGGGATTCGTCCCAGGCCAGCGAGCGAGGGACCGGGACGCACTGACTTTGTCCTGAAGTCGGAGCTGCTCGTGGCTAACCCTCCCCCCTCCCCAGACTGCAGGACCCGGGGCCAGTTCAGCGCCTTCTCCTACCACTTCCGAGGCCGCCGGTCCCTTGACTTCAGTTACCGGGAGGGCGAGCCCCCGACGGAAGCAGGGAAGACACTGAGGTACGGCGTCCCCGAGGGTCACTGTCCACACCGCGGGCCGGCCCGGGCCCTGGGCAGGGACATCCCACCAGCCGCCGGCCCGGGCCCTGGGCAGGGACATCCCACCAGCCGCCGGCCTGGGCCCTGGGCAGGGGCCCCAGACAGCCCAGGTGCCCTGGGGCCTGAGTGTGAGTGTGTGCGACGCTCCTGTCTGCTTCCCCGTCTCCCCTCCTGCAGCGTCGGGAAGCCCGGCCAGCGCCCCAGGAACGCCACGGCTGCCTCCTCTGAGCACCCCCAGGCCCTGGGGCCCAGCGACTTCCGGGACTTCGTGCTGGAGATGCAGCAGACCATCACGGACCTCCGGACACAGGTGCCACCCCGCCATCCCCCCTCTTAGCTCGCGTCTCCCACAGACTCATCTCTGACCCCGGTGTGAACTCTGCAACGCCCCTTACCTGGGGCCAGGGGTCACTGCCTGCTGGCTCTTCTCCTGGCTTGTCCCGGGCTGGCCACACTGAGTCCCTCGGTTTCCCGGCGATCAGGACCCTCAGTGGGACCCAGGCTCCCGGGCAGGGCCTTGGGGTGACCCCAGTTACCCAGGCAGGGCTTGGGGTGACCCCAGTTACCCAGGCAGGGCTTGGGGTGACCCCAGTTACCCAGGCAGGGCTCAGGGTGACCCCAGGCTCCCAGGGCAGGGCCTCCTTCCCAGGGCCCACAGCTGCCCCCACCTGGCTGTAGGCCCCATGTCCCCCTCCTCCTCCACCTGTGAGACCGGAGTGCCTGAGGCCTGGCGACTTGGGTGCAAGGGGGTTTCAGCCTCCCCCAGAAGCTTCGTTCTTAGGAACCACTAACATTCAGGTGTGGGCACGCCCACGGAGGCGAAGTGGGCAGGGCCGCCCCAGGGCTCTGGGAAAAGCCATCAGCTGTCAGGGGAGCTGTTTGAGCCCCAGAACATCCTGCAGAGACGTGTCTGCGTCCCTGCCCGTCGTGAGGCGCCGTGTCCCGGGGCGGGCAGGGCGAGGGCCACACTCCCGTGGACTGACCGCGCACACGTTGGCTTTGCAGATAAAGAAACTTGAGTCTCGGCTCAGCACGGCCGAGTGCACCGACGTGGATGGCGAGCCCCACGCGGATGGCGCCCGGTGGAAGCAAGACGTGTGCACCGTCTGTGAATGCCGCGTGAGTACAGCTCTGTCTCGGGGACCCGGGCCTGGGCCACGGACTCGGCTGCAGAGTCCTGAGCCCCCAGTGGGCAGCCGGGTGGTCAGCGAGGCCCCGCTCACCGGTGGGGTCTCCTCCCTCTTCCCTGGGCAGCCAGGGGGGTGCACACCTGCAGGGACAGTGGGCAGGCGCTGGGTCCTTTGTGGCCGGGGTCGGGCTGCAGCTGGGCTGGGCAGGAAGCTCCGGGAAGACCACTGGGGGACAGGACGAGCCGAAGCGGTCAGACCCGGCACAGGCTGGAACACGGGGGGAAGCGGGTGTGATGCTCGGGGGTCGTCCCCGGAACTGACCGGTCTGGCGCCACCTCCCTCCAGGATGGGCAGATCACCTGCTTCGTGGAAGCCTGCCAGCCCGCCGACTGCCCGGCACCCGTGAGGATCGAGGGCACCTGCTGCCCGGTCTGCCTGAGGGAACCCCCCGGAGCGCAGTAGACCCCTCGCGCTCCTCGCAGCTCCGCGAGCGTCCCCCCCGTCCCCGGCCGGTGCAGGGAGCGCGGACTGGCGGGCGCCGAGGACGTGCACGGCTCACGGCCATACCCGGGGCGTCTCGGACGCCGCACAGGGGCTCAGACTGGAGCGTCCACGGAGCCGGAGACCGCGCAGTGGACACGCGGGTGGGAACAGACACGAGTCCTAACTTCATGTTAGATTCTCAGGTTTTTATTTAATTTTTTTAATGAAAAAGTGGTGCTACTATTAAACCGCACAGTTAAGTCATTTAGGCTCCCGGCGTGATGTCCCCCACCCCACCGCTTCCTCTCGACGGAGAGCCGCTCCGCTTGCCCGGGACGGGGCCCGTGGACCCGCCGCCGGGAGGCACGCACGTTTCAAGAGAACGGCAGCGTTTGGCAGGCGGAACAGTCCCTCGGAGCCTGTCCAGGTGGCACAGGTGCCTGGCCTGGAGCCTCGATCCCTTCCCGGGCCTCTGCCACGGGCCACGCACACCAGCAACTCCTCACGGCAGCTCCCGTTCCACACGCGCACCTGCGGCTTCTCCACTCCCGTCCCCCGTGACTGAGGCTGCCAGCCGCTTAGAAACAGGCCTGTTTTCCCTAGATCCCTGCTGCCCGGTGCTGGGCCAGGTGTGAAACCCCCTTCGCGGTGGCCACGCCGGCTCTCGCTCCCCAGGCTGCTCCCGGCCTCCTCCCTGACTCAGCTGTGAGTGCCTTAGCGACGGCGCCCGTACCTCACCCGATTTCCAAGCGCCGGAGTGTGTGGAAGCCGACCCGGGGTCCAGTGTTCGATGCGGCAGACAAATCACTGCCACTGTGCAGGCCTCTAGGATTCAGTGAAAAGCACCTCGTACCTCATGGCCGCGCTCACCCTCCTATTCTGTCTGAATGCGGAGATCTGTGTTCTGGGACGCGTGGGGGCGAGGCTCGCAGCGTCCCGCAGGCAGTGGGCAGTTTCAGAGCTGGTTCCGGTCCAGGGTGGGCCGCAGGCTGCCACGTCCCTGGGGGATGGGGTCGGGGGGCAGCGGACATCCCCGCGGGAGCGTCCTTAAAGCTGTAAACGCGGCCAGCTTGACCTCTCGGCCGCGGGTCGGGAGTGGCAGGGAACAGCTGGCCCTGTGGCTCAGGACATGGGCTTCCTTTGAAATATCAAGCCAGATGGAGTCAGGACCTGGGACCAGTGTCTGTAACGAGAAGGAGGAAGCTTGGTTTGGAAGGTGGATGGTTCTGTAAGTTGCTCGGTGTCAGGCGGCGGCAGACCGTCCGTGAGGGTGTTGGCGCCTCGAGGGTTACCTGTGGTTTCGTGGCAGAGGTGACGGGCCCGTGAATCCGGGGAGGCCGGCCCACAGGGAAGTCTGCGGCTGCAGGTGGCGTGTCTGCGGGTCGAGGTGGAGTCTCGGTGCGTGGGGAGCCGCGGGGGTCGCCGTGGTGGGAAGCGAAGTGTACATGTGTCTTTACTTTCCTAAGTGTATTTACTTTCCTAACTGTTGCAGCAGCCAGGTGCCTTATCTGTGTTCCTTGTAACCAGTTCATTACCAAAGAAACGTTTGCACTATGTAACGATGCCTTTCAGTTCGAATAAACGGGCCATGTTTTTCCAACGGAGGGTGCACGGCGTCTTCTTTCACGTGAAGCCGTCCTCGCGGCTGCGCCCTGCGGGGTCGGAGCCTGATGCAGAGGAGGCGGTGTCTGGAGAGATTTTAAGTACATTTTCCAGGTATTTGACGTTTAGGGGGAAAATGTATTTTCTGACAGACTTTCAGGAAGTCACCTGATTTGCACAGAGTTTTATGTAACATTTTCTTCTGGTTTTACCACTTCCCGACCTGCTGCAGCCACGAGGCTCGAGGGTCCAGGAGGATGAGCAGGGATGGTCGCAGCCGCCAGAGGCTTGAGTCGGTCTAAGGTGTAGCCTGTGGTTACAGGGGAGGGGCCGTGGTCCCGGGGCTCCGGCACCTGCAGGGGGAGAGCAGGTGGGGTCGGACCCGACCTGGGCTGGGGTGGCAGCCGCCTGTCCCACGGCCCGTCTGTCCCCACTGGTTCCGGCTCATTGGCCTCCCTCTCTCTCTCTGTTAAGAATATATTTTTATGGATTTCAGGGAGGAAGGGAGAGCGAGGGAGAGAGAGAGAGAGAGACATCAATGATGAGAGAGAATCACGGATCGGCTGCCTCCTGCACGCCCCACACTGGGGATCGAGCCCACAACCCGGCCGTGTGCTCTGACCCGAGAATCCAACCGTGACCCCCTGGTTCATAGGTCGACCTCAACCCCTGAGCCACCCAGCCGGGCAGACAGACTCTGCAGAGGCCCGTCCTCCACGCCTCCCGTGGCCAGTCTGAGTTTCTCGAATCATCGTGACCAGCAGCCCCGAGTGGACCACGTCCTCCCAGGTGTTGAGCTGGGCCCCCAGCTGTGACCTTGTCCAGTTGTCCCCGAGGAAGGAAGCCCAGCCCGGAAGAGCTCCCCCATCTCCCCCGT